TGAACAGAAATTTTTTCTTTAACACGTAAAAAAAATATTTGACGTGTTTTTAAACATCAGTGTGACTGATGCAATATGCTTTGCGTTACTAATTGTCTATTATTAGGTGCTCGATCTCAATTTCTGACTGGGTCGTCTAATAATAGATGCTTATTGCATCATTCGCAAAGTGACGAAACTCTACAGTAGGCCCCTCAAGTTCAAAAAGTTATTTTTTCATCTTTCGCAAGGTGGCAAAACTGTACAGGATTTCCTCGCGTTACAAAGTTATTTTTTAGAAGCCTGTTCTTGTTTTATCGCTGAATATAGTAGTACCCCTTACTCGCTATGCAGGACGCTCGACTAACGGATGCCAAGTGCCAACATCGTCGCTCTAAAACTCTGGTCGCCAAACCGTGTATTGCCGAAAATTTTGTCTTTGTGTTTTTATTTATGTTTCTGTTGTGTATGTGTTGTGTTTGTGTTGTGGTTGTGTAGCGTTTGTGTTGCATTTGTGTTGCGTTTGTGTTGTGTTTGTGTTTGTGTTGTGTTTGTGTTGTGTTTAGTTTTGTTCTGTTCCCAAGTTGGTACAGTTAAAAAAGATTTACCGTGGCGGAGCACGGGTATACAGCTAGTGTATATATATATATATATATATATATATATATATATACATATATATATATATATATATATATATATATATATATATATATATATATATATATATATATGTATATATATATATATATATATATATACATATATATATATATTATGTATATATATATATATATATATATATATATATATATATATATATATATATATATATATATATATTAAAACCGAAATATATTTAAATAGACTAAAATCGAGAAGAAATAAGTATTGCAAAAAAATGAACGTAACAAATCTGTCCATAATATAGCGGAAATATTTGTACTTTGAAATTATACTTTAATTTATTTTTTAAAAGTTAATTAAACATCTAATTACGTCACAATTCAGGTCATAATGCATTGTTGTCGAGTTTTTACCTAAGTGAAAAGTTCAAAACGAATCAATCTGCTTAAAGTAATAATTTATGAGAAATCGGAAATACCATAAAATGCTCGGTCGCTCACCGTAAATCACTTATTTTGTATACATTTTTACTTAAGGAAATAATGTAAAGAATCACTTCCATACATTGGAGGTCACTCAAAAATTAAGGATAAACTGAGCATAAGATATGTACTTAAATATGAATTTATTTTCAACCCAGCTTTAACGGTACTCTAGATATTTGCTTTTGAGAGACAGGAAGTAGAGTACTTTCATTTTCTTAAGATAGCTCAAAAAATTGATATGATATATATATATATATATATATATATATATATATATATATATATATATATATATATATATATATATATATATATATATATATTCAATTTGGTCAGCACAAGAAAAATTTTTGTCAAGTTATCGTGTTTATAGAAACACAGACAAACACAGACATACACAAACTCACACACATACCTACACACAGACAAACAGGACGGTAAAAATAAGATTTTTTGGCTCCGGGAGTTTATAATAGATCTGAATTGGTCCAAATTTATATTTATATTATTGCACAATTACAATGTATCCAATATGATTAGTATACAATATAGTGGGGGAACTCAATTACAATATTCATTATACTCTGAATGCCACCAAAGGTAAAAATGATAAAAGATATCTCTATCGCGAGTGCACTAGAAGAGCCGTCACCCTCATTGATATTCGGAAAATACGAGATAGTTTAAGGGTGATCACTCCTGCTTTATTTAATAAGTAACTTGCATTTATTCACTTCAAGTATTGATCAATATCTGTACTCGATACTTTGGTGTTAAACTATATATGATATATAATACCACTCTTATCAAAATCAAAAGACTCTAGGTTGAATGTGGCATTTCGTAAGATTTAGAAAACAATTAACTTTTTAAAATGTTTCAATGAAACGCTTTAAAAATGTATTAAAAGTAAAAAAAAATAGAGCTCTGAAAATATCAAATATAAAGGTAATTATACATGCTTTTGAAAGTATTTGAAGTGTATAATATACTACTGGCTTGTTGCAGTAATTGTATCTAGAATATATTTTATAAACTGCTGCAGTTAATTTTCTGTTGCAAAAAATGCAGTTAAAACATATTTTGACTGTTAATATAAAACATAACCTAAAATGTTGTTTTGCTCTTCATGTAAGCTGAATGTTTACAACATATAGTAGAGGCATTTCGTATTGTATTGCCGTTAGGTGTAGGTATCGAAGGAACGCGGGCGAAAGATCGTTAACTTGTCCCGATCGCAAGTATGGGTCGCTATTCCTTTGAATTTAACGTTGACGAATATCTTGTGATATGTAAAATATAAAGGGGCTGGTTTTTGGGTTGGCAGTCAAAAGAAATCTGTGTTCCCTAGAACCAGAACTTGATTTTACTGTACCAGTTACCCTTTCTCTAAATAGCAATCATCGGCCAACCAAGGGGAGTACACATTTTCTACTTCTCAGCTCATTACACGTCATCATAGTTTCGGGTTGTTTTTTTACGATATTAAAAAAAAAGCTTTTCATTAGACTTTTGTCCATTTTATTTACTAGGTATAATTATGCAAACAGGAATGCATTCTCGGACACACGCACGCACGTAAACCTACGCATACGCAAACATACAGAAATGTAGTCGCATACCACACATAATTACATACAATCATAAACCGAAGATACTTACATACCTTAATAAGTAAAGCTAATATTTCATTATATGAAGGAAGTTTTTTCCCTTTAATAGTAGAGAAACAGATTGGACAAATGTCAGCATGGAAACCGCAGCTGCTGCAACATAAATCACCACAAGGTTCAAATATTGTGTCCACATCCATATCATAGCAAATTCTGCACCGAAGATACTTGCTTGCAATATTCTCCTTCTTTAAGGCATCACTCTGGGAGAGCCCAGTTGTGGGTGTATAACTACCGTTACAGCTGTCCACAAGTATGGCCTCGGCTAAAGCTTCAGCACTCTCAAACTGCCTGCCACTATCTTCCAGCCTTTTATGTAGACTTTTCTTGACCAGGTTTTCTGGTATGTCTAAATCGAGCACCTGTTGGGCAGTGGCATCTTTCATCATACCGTCTACTGTTAAAGGTGAGAAGCGGTCCTAGGTATTTTTTAAATAAATTTTTTAGACATCTATGGTAAAAGTTAACATGGAAGACAGATATAGATATAGTTATGAATACAGGCAAACACGGAAAAATATACTTTAAAAAACACGGTATTAGTCGTAGGCGTAGACGTGGACAGATATAGGTACATGTACAGATAAAGATATAAATATAATTCATTGGAATGTTTATGTAATAATTGTATTTACAACTAAATACCTGTTTTAAAATAAATAAAACAAATCACACAGGTATCCACCATAGTCAGTTATTTATATTAATAAATATTGTATGAATACTTACTGAGTGAACGTCTTTGTCTATTTGTGTAATTGCTTTTTTATAAAATGGACTTATTATCTCAACAATATTTTTGTAGCCGCATTTTGACGCTATATCCAATGCATTGTCTCCATCTTTATTCACGGCTAGAACATCACATCCAGATTCCAATAAGAGCTCAACTGTTGGCTTATCTCCACTTTTTGCAGCATACATTAGCGCACTCCATCTCTTTTCGTTAACAATATTAATATCAGCTCCAGATTCAATCAAAAGTTTGACTGCTTTTTCGTGACCAATTATAGCTTTCGCATTAGTATTAATATATTTATTGCTTGCTAAGCTTCCAATCCTGTATTTGTCATTTTCCCATTCATCGATTTGAAACATTTTTACATCAATTCCATTTTTATTTAAATGTTCAACAAGTCTTAGTTTTAATTCTGAACTATCACATGCGTATATTAAAGAGGTATCTCCGTCATAAGAAATTGCATTTATGTTGCTCAATTTTTTAATTAAAAGATCTACAATCGTAACTTGTCCGCATTTTGAAGCGTGCATTAATACATTCATCCCGTATTTATCAACAGTATTAATATTAGTTCCTCTTCTAATTAAAATTTCTACAGTTTCAGCGTACCCTTTTATAGAAGCGTACATTAGTGCATTTTTTCCATTGTCATCAACAGCGTTTGCATCACTACCTCTTTCAATTAAAGTTTCTACAGTTTTATTACAGCCCTCTTCAGCTGCGTACATTAGTGCATTTTTTCCGTTGTCATCAACAGCGTTTGCATCAATACCTCTTTCAATTAAATTTTCTACAGTCTTATAACAACCCTCTTCAGCAGCGTACATTAGTGCATTTTTTCCTTTTTTATCAACAGCTTCGACATCGATCCCTCGTTCAATTAAAATATCTACAACTGCATCGCGCCCCTCTGAAGAAGCGTACATTAACGCGTTCTTTCCATTTTTATCGACAACGTTAACATCACTTCCTCTAAGAATTAAAAGTTCCACTGTGTTATTGTGTCCATTTTCGGAAGCATACATTAATGCAGTCTTTCCTTCATGATCAAATGCTTGGACATTATTTTCACTTTTACTTAAAAGCTGAACCGTTTTTTGGTGTCCATACTCAGAAGCCCACATCAATGCATTCTTTCCTTCATGATCTAATGCTCTCACATTACTTCCATTTGTTATTAAAAGATCAACCACCTGATCGTATCCATTTTCAGAGGCCAACATTAATGCAGTCTTCCCTTCGTTGTCATATGCCTTAACATCACTACCACTTCTTATCAATATCTCAACAGTTTTTTCGTGTCCATTCTCAGAAGCCCACATTAATGCAGTTTTTTCATCTTGATCAAAAGCTTTAACGTTGCTTCCACTTTTTATCAAAAGCTCTATAATTTTATCGTATCCTTGTTCTGACGCTAACATTAATGCGTTGTGTCCATTTTCATCAACTGCTTTGACATTACACCCTCTTTTAATTAAGAGCTCTACAGATTTTTCATGTCCATATTGGGAAGCATACATTAAAGCGTTTTTACCTTTTCTATTAACACATTTGACGTCACTTCCATTCTTAATTAAGAACTCTACTGTTTTTTCATGTCCACCTTGTGAAGCGTACATTAAAGAGTTTTTACCTTTTCGATTAACACCTTTAACGTCACTACCTCCCTTAATTAAAACCTTTACAGTTGTATAGTGTCCACCTTGAGAAGCGTACGTTAATGCAGTCTTTTCGAATGCATCCACAGCTTTAACATTGCTCCCACCTTTAATTAACACATCTACTACTTTATCGTGTCCATTTTTAGACGCCCACATTAATGCAGTTGTTCTATTATTATCGAATGCTGTAACATCACCTCCACTTAAAATTAGAAGCTTTACAATTTTTTCATGTCCATTTTCAGAAGCCCACATTAATGCACTCTTTCCATTTTGATCAAGTGATTTTACATTACTACCACTTTTTATTAAATGCTCTACAATTGTTAGGTTTCCCAGTTCTGAGGCCCACATTAATGCTTTCTTTCCGTGTGCATCTGCTGCATTGACATTACACCCTAGTTTAATTAAAATCTCTACAGTTTTATCATGTCCAGCTTGAGTAGCGTAGATCAATGCGTTTATTTTCTGCCCATCAACAGTGTTTGCATTAATTCCGTTTTTAATTAAAACCTCTGCAGTTGTATAGTGGCCATTTATAGAAGCGTACATTAATGCGTTTTTTCCACTTTTGTCAACAGCATTAACGTCGCTGCCCCATTTTAATAAAACCTCTACAGTTGCATTTCGTCCATTTATAGAAGCGTACATTAATGCATTTTTTCCATTGTCATCAACATCCTTAATATTAAACCCATCCTGAAGTAAGAGATCTACAGTCTTATAATCTCCACTTTCAGCAACAGACATCAGTATTGTTTTTCTATTCTTTAAAATGTTAATACCCTCACCACTTTCCTTTAGACTTTCCATGCCCTTTTGGTTTTCATCCTGTTTATAGCTGGCGGTAATGTCAGCCATGGTTAATTATAAATAATTAATTTGTTTTTAGTTTTACTTCTAGTTTACTTCGAGGGATTTTTAACGTCTCCTTTTATTAAAATTTATCATAGTCTTTAAAAATACCAATTAACAAATTGTTTTTTTATTAGTTGGCCTACATATACATATAAACTATAATTCGATTACGCACATTTATTTAAAAACTTCGAAATATTCATGCTTAGCAGTTTTATTTTCTATGGGCTGTAGCACTGGATTTTGGTATTAAAGTTTCTAGAAAGACTCCCAGTTCGGATACTGTGCTCGTTCTTAAACACTTCTGCTAACATGTGGTTTTCTAATAACATTATCCTTTATGGCTTCTATTAACTTGATTTGTTTCTAATATTGTTTCTCTTTTACGTGGACCATAAACAAGCTTTCTTCATATTCGTCGTCTCAATAAACTTTAAACAAAAAAAAAATACAGTTAAAATTTTAATACATGTCGAAATTTCGCTATTAAAGAATCTAAGTACTACCTACTACAGGCAGACAATACATTTACTGCTTCTACTTACGTTAAGAAACAACAACCCAGTTCAGTAGCGTAGGGAGGGAGGGGGGGGGGGCTACATATATCCCCAGGCGGCGATCTTAGGGGGCGCCAAAATGGGTTTGAAATATAAATTGAAAGGTTGAGGGGGGTGCAAATTGAAAGTTTAAGGGGGGGGGGGTGCAAATCAAAATCTTGAGGGGGGTGCAAAACGAAAAGGGTCGCTACGCCTTTGACCCAGTTATATCAAATTACAAAGTAAATAATTGTTAGGCTTGAAATAAAGGAAAAGAAACTTTTATATATTTTAAGTTAAATCGGTGACAATCCATAAAATTAGGTATAACTACATTCGATAAAAATAGATACAACAACATTCGATTAAATATCTATGTTCCTATATTTAAAAAAATAAAAAGTTCAAATATTTTGTCTTTTCTTTTGTTTATTTATAAACAAGCATAAAAACGGTGTTATAATAAGCGTTTGTGTAATACTGCACTAGAAAGTAAGTTATTGTCTTTAAACATAATAATATTGAACTGCAGTTTAAATAACTAAAATAAAAGGGTGGGTCGCTTCTTAGCAAAGCTGCATTAGGCAAAACTTATAAATAAAGAATTTTACCGACAGTTTACAACAGTGCTAAACATATAGGCCTACACAATGTAATGTTTATAAACTGTCATTTTTAAAGACTTTTTTGATCAAATTATTTTGTCTAACTCGGTCGTTAAACCGAGAATATTCCATTTTACACTAAATTCTACGTATTTTTAAGTACACTCTTGTCACTTTTCGTGATTTATACAAAGACTTAAATAACAGTAAATCCCCGAGAAGGTGTTAAAATTGTGTGCCGCGATATTAAAACGTTATGGTTTTCAAGCATTGTGCGGCCTTTGTAGGTTGTATAATTGTTTAAAAGATCGGGAGTAATTTGCATTTTTAAAGTATTTTCAGCTACTAAACACAGTAAACACACTAAACACACTTTTTAAAAAAAAACGCCAAAAAAATTTCTATTGTTTCTTATTTTTTTTAAATGTAAAAAGTATACAAAAAAAAACACACCTGCTTAAAGTTGTCGTTGAAAAATAAATGTATTGAAAATACGTACTTGAAAAATTTTAAGCATATAGTGAAGGCTAAATAGTTCAAATCACTGATAAACGATACAGTCAATTAATAGTTTGTCTTACATAAGTGAAAAATTTAGATACCAATTTTGATTCGATAAATAGACGAAACGAATCGTTTTAGGCAGGGGTCTCCAAACTTTTCAGCCCGAGGGCCGCATTAACTATCAAATATCAATTCGGGGGCCAGAGTTTCTTTAAGGCATCTCTTCAGGGTCGTGGAGCCCCACCTCCCCCCCCCCCCCCCAAAGAACGTCTACCGCCCCCAACTAAATATAATTTATATATATATATATATATATATATATATATATATATATATATATATATATATATATATATATATATATATATATATACAAATTTCAAGTTTCCACCACCCCCCCTAAGGTCCACGTTTGCTCTCAAATTGTTCTTCACGTATTTCATTCTTGAAAATGTTTGTTCACCCAGGTATACCCAGGTATGTTGTTTCAACATTTGAAAGGTACTTTGATGCAAAAGGTTTAATATTAGGAAAGTCTTCCTTGTGCAAAAACGTATGAAAACCCATACGCCCTTCTTTGAACGTGTCTCTAAAGAAGTAATTTTCTTGCAATTCAATGACCTCCAGCTGCAGTTCATCTTTGCAACTGGCCACATTTGCTTCAAATGGGCTTTGAAACAATCTCAATTCTTCTGCCTTTGAATCCAAGTCAGAAAACAGCTACTGAAACTGCAGCTGGAGGTCTTTGGTGATCTCGCATGTAAATGACGTGGGGAACTCAGTTGTTGCTTCAGCCGTAAAAACCTTGCACTGCTGAAAGTGAGTCAAGTTTTTAGCCTGTACTTGTTCCAAAACCATGACAAGTTTGTATCTAAAGGCCTTTGGGTGGGAGTATAGATCAGAAAATAGATTTCCCTCTCTTGCCGTTATAGATTCAGAAAATTTAAATGCCTAGTTATGTTTGCAGCAGAGGCCAATTTCTATACCCACTCTTCATCAGACAATAATGGCTGTGACTTGCCTTTACTATCAGGAAGTCGCCTATTTCTTTTCCTTGGATACTCTGCTCAGAATTTTCTCGCAAAATTATCAATCTTACTGATTTGAAATATGGTATATCTTGCGATTTTGTGTTTTTCCCTGAACTATCTATGGTTAGATATCCTCTTAGGTAACAGTGCCGTACATACTATGTAGGGAAGCCAGCTCTTGTGTTATGCTCATGTCTTCATCCACACCTCTAATGAACACAAGCAGTTGTGAGATGGAGCAGCTGCCCAGCGACTCATCCATTGCAATTGAAAAATGGCGAATCTTGCTTGCATTTTTCGCTATTTGAGTCGCAATGTTTTCACCAATGTCTGCAACACGTCAAGTAATTGTATTTGCACACAAAGCTACATTTTCAAATTGTTTAGAATTTTCTGTGCAAAACTCATCAGCCACCTCCAACAAAAATTTATTCAGTGGACAAAAAGATCGTCGCGGGCCGGATAAAATGACCTCGCGGGCCGCATCTGGCCCGCGGGGCCGTAGTTTGGAGACCCCTGGTTTTAGGCAAAATAATAATTAGACGGTGATTCTTAGAATTGCATATTGTTTAATATTCTTTTAGTTTTAAGTTTTTTTTTACTTTTACGATGCCTGCGACGACAAAAGTAACAACAAAAAAGCAACATACTTATCAGGATAAAAACGTTATTTGGAAATAGTTCTTCTATGAAAATAATACATAGTCACAAATCGCGTTGGACAATTAGACCTAAAGCATTGTGAGATATATTAGCGTCTTGTTAATTTTGTTAGCCCAATTTCCAATAGTCAAATGGAAACATAATGGTAATGCCGAAATTAGATATATCATTTAAATAAATAAATAAAAAAAAAACCCCACGTTTTCTGATTGAACTAAAAAGTAGAAAATAAATGCAATAATGCAAGCGATCACTCTACTATAAGCAATCGCAAACTGCATGCGCATTATGACAAAAAATGAAAAACGTGGGGCGCCGAAGTAAAAGTTTTTTATCGGTAATTACTAATATAAGATGTAAAAGTTATATTACTATTGATTAGATAATACTATTGAGTTTTATTAGGGATCTTGTAGAGAGTCAACAGTATTAGAAAATGTAAGAAAATCACGGCGCCCCACGTTTTTCATTTTTTTGTCATAATGCGCACGCAGTTTGCGATCGCTTATAGTAGAGTGATCGCTTGCATTATTGTGATGTCTAGCATTTATTTTCTACTAATTTGTAATTATTTTCTACTTTTTAGTCTTTGTCTGTTTGTTTGCATTCAAATCTTGCTATCGATTTTATCTTCTCGCATTCACTTTTTTTTTTGGGTAAACGAAGACAAACACTCACAAAGGACGAACACCAAGATAGAAGGGACTTATACCAGGCATGATACGCTTATTATTCAGGATCAGCTGGAGGTTCGTGTCGACGCATTCTTTCCATCTCCTGTAGACATTCCTCATTGCAGGGGTTTTTTCCTGTTAGCTTGCTGCAATCCAATTCCACAATGCGTACGCCTTCGAGTGATCGTTCTCGACTGAGCGCAACATACGCCTGGCCCGTTTCAAAAAGCGCTGGTCCTAAATAGACAACTGCGTGATCATCTGCACAGCCTTGCACATAAACCGCAAGCTCGAAAGCAAACACTAACACAAAAGCAAACACTCACAAAAATGCAAACACTAACGCAATTACAAAAGCAAATTCAAACACAAAGGCAAAAACTAACGCAAGCACAAACACAACGCAAAAACAAATACAACCGCAAACACAAACTAAAAAATAACGCAAACACAAACGCAAATCTAAACGCAAATAATAAAGCAAAACATATATACACATTTAAAATCAAACATAAAAGCATAGTGCTCACACTTTAGCACAGGGTAACGGAAAACACTTTTAGGGCGCCGGAAGACGCCCTGGATTCGATTTCATGAAACACTATAGTAGCCCTTCTTATCCGTAGTCTATCACAATGTTTGAAACGAGCGTAGGAGCCACAGCGCTCACACGAAGTCACGGGGCTCCAAATAGCACCCTGTGATTCGCCAGATTCAATTTAGTGAACGACTATAATACCCCAATCTGTTATTCATTAAAATAATATTTAGTTAACAGTACGTTCAGTGTATAAAATAAATAAAAGGCAGTAGTTAAAATATCTGTGTTTTACCTACCACATTGCACTGTATCAATAAATGCTAATTATGTAATTATTTTTTTCCAACAGCAAAACAAACTATAAAAAGTATCTTTTTTTCGCGATGTAATGTTTTTAAAAGGAAAAAAAAATGTTTTTTCCTAACCTTTCAAGGAAAGTAATTAATATTAAAGGAACAAAGGAAAATTAGTTATACGCTTTTTAAATTTTTTGAAGTGTGATACATTTTCTTTGATTTTGTTCATTTTACATCAGGTAAATTGAAACGATAAGTTTTGAAAATGAAACTTTTTTTACAAAAACATCAATAATAATGATTTAAATCACCAATTTCGATAATAGACACTTTAAGTAGGCATATATAACACATTGGCGATCAAGTTGAATTTTTTACTATATGCAAGTCTAACATAAGAACGTACACCACACACACATACAGAGACGCAGAATCCGTTAGAGCTTTACATACTACAAGCCAAAAAATGTTGAGGGGTTAGGGGACAAAAACAAGACCGTAGACTAACGCGCCACCATAGATCAAGAATCTCGCTCTTAATTAATTATCTTGTCTAGATTTAGAAACTAGGTTGTGACACCCATTGTGAAACGTAAAATAGTCCTAGAATCTGGACTATACTGCAGTGGCGGAACTAGAAAAAAGGGCCACCCCGCAAAAATTTTTTTTAGCCCCCCCCCCCCCCCAATATAATGGCTACAGGACATTACCCCCCCCCCCCGGAAATTACTCCCCGGACATTCCCCCCCCCCCGCATTTACCCCCCAAAGCAATTACCTCCCATTTCAATTACCTCCCTCTCAAATACCCCCCGGAGAATTACCCCACCCCTCTCAAGTTAGAATCCTAATTCTAGCTAGAATTCTATAACTATAATACTACTTTAATCCAAACCTTAAGAAAAAGACCAAAACCTAAGCATCCACCTTAGCCTAAAACATCACACAAAACCAAAACCAACGCTAGACAAAACCCTAACCCTAGATTAAACACTAACTCTAGCCCTAGCCCTAACCATAACCTTAACCCTAGCCCTAGCCGTAACCCTAACCCTAACCCTAACCCTAACCCTAACCCTAACCCTAACCCTAACCCTAAACCTAAACCTAAACCTAAACCTAAACCTAAACCTAGCCCTTTCCCTAACCCTAACCCTAACCCGAACCCTAAATCTAACCCTGTCCGGGGGGGGGGGGGGTAATGTTCAACTGGGCGGGGGGTAATAGAAAGGGGGGTAATTGACAGGGGGGGGTAATTGCTCCGGGGGTAAATACGGGGGGGGGGAAATGTCCGGGGGGGGGGTAATTGACGGAGGGGGGGGGGGGGTAATGTCCTGTTCCCTAATATAATATATAGACCTATATATATATATATATATAGACCTATATATATAGACCTATATATATAGACCTATATATATATAATACGAACATAGGATACTCATTGCTGGCCTGTTCGTGTTTTGAGAAATACGTGGGTTGTTTTTTTTTTTTTAATTAAAACAAATTACAACATCATGTCATTTGTGTAAGTGCATTAGTCTGTTTTGTGAAAATCAGTTTTATATTATCTCTGCTGTAAGACCTCTATTGCCTCTAACATCTTATCGGGGAAAAGAATATAGCATGAAAGCTTTCTGTAAATAATGGTGTATTGTGTCATGTTTATTTTTATGTTTATTTGTATTTATATTATTAATTATAAATACATTTCTTTTTATACAGTGTCATTCTTTAGTAAGTAATTTATAAACAAATAACAATAAAGAGAAGTAATTGCTTTTTAATTTGTTTAGTAAAAATCTATTAAAAGGAGCTTATGAGCATCACTATTTGACTATTTAAAAAAGGGAAATAAGTTATGGAAGTGGTTTGAACGTGTGCTTATCTTTGATAAGTTTGATTGTAGGAGAAAGAGCACTTGGCTTTCACAGTGGTTTAAAAACGAAGGAAAAGTGAGCGTGAGGTGGTGTCTATAGAATAAAGATAATCCAACCGCAGCTACGGTAATCTTTTTTACAAAACAAACATTAAGTCAAAAATGCAAGAAGATTTTTTTTCTAAATGGCGTGCCCCCCCCCCCCCCCCCGCATTGCGTGGTCTGGCGGCACTGTAGTTCCGCCCCTGCTATACTGTCTACGCTGCAAATTAAAAGAAGCGCAACTACAAGCAACTAATCAGGAAATAAGCGTTGTTGTAAAGTAAATTAATGTACTAAGACTTGAAAAACAGCGGTGTTTTGATGAAAAGGGTAACATGTATGTATGTATGTATGTATGTATGTATGTATGTATGTATGTATGTATGTATGTATGTATGTATGTATGTATGTATGTATGTATGTATGTATGTATGTATGTATGTATGTATGTATGTATGTATGTATGTATGTATGTATGTATGTATGTATGTATGTATGTATGTATGTATGTATGTATGTATGTATGTATGTATGTATGTATGTATGTATGTATGTATGTATGTATGTATGTATGTATGTATGTATGTATGTATTGTATGTATGTATGTATGTATGTATGTATGTATGTATGTATGTATGTATGTATGTATGTTTGTAATGTATGTATGTATGTATGTATGTATGTATGTAGTATGTATGTATGTATGTATGTATGTATGTATGTATGTATGTATGTATGTATGTATGTATGTATGTATGTATGTATGTATGTATGTATGTATGTATGTATGTATGTATGTATGTATGTATGTATGTATGTATGTATGTATGTATGTATGTATGTATGTATGTATGTATGTATGTATGTATGTATGTATGTATGTATTGTATGTATGTATGTGTATGTATGTATGTATGTATGTATGTATGTATGTATGTATGTATGTATGTATGTATGTATGTATGTATGTATGTATGTATGTATGTATGTATGTATGTATGTATGTATGTATGTATGTATGTATGTATGTATGTATGTATGTATGTATGTATGTATGTATGTATGTATGTATGTATGTATGTATGTATGTATGTATGTATGTATGTATGTATGTATGTATGTATGTATGTATGTATGTATGTATGTATGTATGTATGTATGTATGTATGTATGTATGTATGTATGTATGTATGTATGTATGTATGTATGTATGTATGTATGTATGTATGTATGTATGTATGTATGTATGTTATGTATGTATGTATGTATGTATGTATGTATGTATGTATGTATGTATGTATGTATGTATGTATGTATGTATGTATGTATGTATGTATGTATGTATGTATGTATGTATGTATGTATGTATGTATGTATGTATGTATGTATGTATGTATGTATGTATGTATGTATGTATGTATGTATGTATGTATGTATGTATGTATGTATGTATGTATGTATGTATGTATGTATGTATGTATGTATGTATGTATGTATGTATGTATGTATGTATGTATGTATGTATGTATGTATGTATGTATGTATGTATGTATGTATGTATGTATGTATGTATGTATGTATGTATGTATGTATGTATGTATGTATGTATGTATGTATGTATGTATGTATGTATGTATGTATGTATGTATGTATGTATGTATGTATGTATGTATGTATGTATGTATGTATGTATGTATGTATGTATGTATGTATGTATGTATGTATGTATGTATGTATGTATGTATGTATGTATGTATGTATGTATGTATGTATGTATGTATGTATGTATGTATGTATGTATGTATGTATGTATGTATGTATGTATGTATGTATGTATGTATGTATGTATGTATGTATGTATGTATGTATGTATGTATGTATGTATGTATGTATGTATGTATGTATGTATGTATGTATGTATGTATGTATGTATGTATGTATGTATGTATGTATGTATGTATGTATGTATGTATGTATGTATGTATGTATGTAGTATGTATGTATGTATGTATGTATGTATGTATGTATGTATGTATGTATGTATGTTGTATGTATGTTATGTATGTATGTATGTATGTATGTATGTATGTATGTATGTATGTATGTATGTATGTATGTATGTATGTATGTATGTATGTATGTATGTATGTATGTATGTATGTATGTATGTATGTATGTATGTATGTATGTATGTATGTATGTATGTATGTATGTATGTATGTATGTATGTATGTATGTATGTATGTATGTATGTATGTATGTATGTATGTATGTATGTATGTATGTATGTATGTATGTATGTATGTATGTATGTATGTATGTATGTATGTATGTATGTATGTATGTATGTATGTATGTATGTATGTATGTATGTATGTATGTATGTATGTATGTATGT